TACATAGTTGCAAATCTTTAACTTTTGTAGTTTGGCTTTGGAATACTCAAGAGCCATTCTGAGGGAGCCAGGTGAGCTAGGGGGACAGCTGAACTGTGCTTACAAATACAGCCACGTCAAAGGGGAGTTTTATAAATGACTAAGACTGGTCGTTGGAATGACTCTGCAGTGCCCTGAGTACCCCCATCCCCAAGACAGGGTTTCCCTGTGAAGCCCTGGCTGTCCTGGAACTCACTCTGTAGACCAGGCTGGCCTCAAACTCATAGAGATCCACTTTCCTCCCAAGTGCTGGGATTAAAGGTGTGTGCCATCACCATCAGGCTCATGAGTGGCTCTTCTGCTGGCTAAATATTCAAGACCATAGGTTATTGCAGCATTTTGAAGGCGTGATTCTCACTTGCTAGCTATAAACCAGGCATTGTTTTAAGCCCTGGCGATTATTTTTTCTGAAAAAAAAAAAATCTTCTTCCATCCTGGAGGTCTAGAGCCTGTTGGGGAAATATCAATAAATAAGAAATTGTATGTGTTGTATAATTTATGGAAGTAAGAAATGCCCAGAGAAGGAGCGAAAGTAGTACAAGGAGATAGGAAATGATTTGGAGTAGTGGCCCTTGTGGTTCATCTTTGTTTACTTCCTTTATCTTTCTCTGAAGTATTCTGGAGAGGTCTATCACCCATTAAATGTAATGGAGTGGAGCACTTAGCTTTTTATAGGTAAAGAAGGGTGGGTCAGGATTCTGGGAAGTACAGTGGTAAAGAACTTGCCTCGAAAGCAGAAGGGCCAGAGTTCAGTCTCCAACACCCAAGTGAAAAGCCACCTGGGGTGGTGAGTGTGCACGCAAGCCCAGTGCTGGGGAGGCAGACATAGGCGCTCCCTGGTCAGCAAGTTTAGCCCTAATGGACCAGCTCCAGGTTCCAGTGGGAGAGACCCTGTCTCAGAGACAAACATATAAGAACAAACAAACAAACAAAACAAAAACAAGGCAGATGGCTCTACCTGGAGGTTGACTTCAAAACATTTGTGGACACACACACACACACACACACACACACACACACACACACACACGATGTGCACGTGCACATACACTCACACGTGTGAACACACACACACACACACACACACAAGATACATGGGGGAAACTGGCTTAAGCAAAGCTGAGCTGCTTTTTAATGAAGGACTTCCCAGAGCCTTTGGCATGCTAATGTAATTACAGATTATCATGGGGGAAGGGTTGTAGTATGCACCAGTCTCTAGGGAATCCCATTGGGTTTGAAGCATGTGGAGCCAGAAGTGGCCTCTGTAGCAGCCTGTATATAGCACACTCAGCTTCCATGTCTCATGGCACAGAACTGAAAGTTATAGAGAGGTTCATTTCTAGGGTTGAGGGAAGAGCAAGTTAGGGCAGCTTGTGGGCCCAGCGTAGCACCAAGAGTCCAAAACACACCCCTTGGGTAACCCTTTCCACTAGGGCATTACAGCTCCTGGGTACTGTCAAAAGAACTGTGGCTCGGAGTGACTCAAGTTGGTAGCCAAAAGTTTCTTACAGAGCCAGGATCTGAACCTAGTCTTATGTGACTCCAAAACCCAAGCCTTTGAAAACCAGGATGGCCTAAGGGAAGTAGGGGAGGCTGTAACCCAGCTAGTATATCCACCTCCCCCATTCCACTGTCAATCTATGTGTACCCTCAAACCATGCCCTCCTCAAGGGATGGCTTCCTCTTCTTTTACACTGGCAGGTGATCACCTGCCTCTCTTGTTGGCTATCAATGGGTATTTGGTGGGTTTGAGCAGACAAGGACATGGGTCCCTGGTTCCATCCTCATAAAATGGGGTCAGTTACCTGTGACCCTGGGAGTGGTGCTGACCAGCAAGCTCTGTCAAAATCATCCCTCTATGGTTTTCTCTTTTCTTGGCATTTTCTCCTGCTGTTATAGTCACACATCCCAGCTGTCTCCTTCTGCAGAATCCCCTGGAAGATGACTCAGACCCACATTAGCACCTGTGCCAGAGCATCAGTGAGGTGTGCAGACCAGCCAGGGCTGCAGGGGCCAACACTGGTGTGAGTTTGGTGATGATGGGGCAGGGATGTGGCAAGGCTTGGCTCGGGGGTGAAGATGCAGAATTCCTTTACTTGCTGGAAATAGCAAAGGTGTATCCTTTAGGAAAGACTCGGAGGCAGTTTCTCTCCCACCTTCCCCATCTTCCTCTCAGGAGACAGCAGAGGAAGTTGGTAGGGATTACTCAATCCTGCTAATTCAGTACTAATTGAAACAAAGGGACACGGGTCTTCTTTGAACTCAATGCTCAGAAACTAAAGTAAAGCAACTCAGATTCCACTGTCCTTCCTTCCCATACCATGCTTATTCTTGGCTCCTGACATTTCTTTCATTTAAAGTCAGTGACAACTCAGCTTCAGTAGGAGTCTCTGATCTGGTCCCTTCTCACATGTGTACTTCCCTGGCCTGGCCCTGAGTTCATCCCTAGCTATTTCCCCTCACTCCTCTGCTAGACATTACTCTTGTCACTAGTGTGTACCAAGCCTTCAAGGTACCTCTGCTCAAAACAGGGTGCAGGGATTTGAGGAAGCAACCTTGAACTAGACAGTATGTTCCATCTGGAGAGTGACTAGTCTGAGGGGTCTGAAGTATACTGTCCAACAGACAGTAGAATACTACACTAGAGTGTAGAGTTTGGGGGAAAGTTCTTGAAGAGGAACCAAGAATTGACTGCCATGGGATTGTCAAGAGAATGTACTAAAAAGAGTGCATGCCCAGAAGAGGCCCTCAGGCGATTTTAGGGCCATTAACTTTCAAGGGCTGATCTAAGGCATTATGTATTAGATTACTTCTTTCCTGAGTCCAGCCTTCCCAAGAGTCACTGTGTTGGTGTCTTGAATGCATGAGCAATGATCAAACTGGCTAGTCCTACTATCTTCACTACCATCACACTCACCGGCATGTTCACTTTACCTTTACTTCCACCAACACTTTCATCATCCCATCTCTGCTAATATTTAGCATCAACTACCAACACAGCCTATAATCATCCCCCACCCCTTAAAAAGAGTCTCCATTGAGTAGCTGTCTTTAATGAGTTGACGTGTGGGCATGTCTGTGAGGGAATGTCTTGGCTGTGAATTAATATAGAAGAGCTCAGTACGCTATGACAGTACCACCATTCCTTGGGAGGTGGTCCTGGGCTGTATAAGGAAGCTAGCTCTATGTCAATGAGTCTGAGCAAGCTACAGAGCAATGTTCCTCATGGCTTCTGCTTCAAACTCCTGTTTGAGTTTCTGCCTTGACTTCCCTCAATGATAGATTGTAACCTGTAAGATTTAATAAAGCCTTTCCTTCCCTCAATTGCTTTTGGCCAGAGTGTTTTATCACAGCAACAGAAAGGAAACCAGAGCACCCACTTACCACTTTCGCCATTGCGTTATTTTCATAGGGTATGAAACATGACAGCTCCCTACTCTTCCACGGAGGAAAACATGACCCAAAGGAAACTTCCAAACACTGCTTAAGGATGTGGGACTTGTGGGAATTGGTACCTGTTCATGCAACAGTTGAGATCCCAGGAAGGCTCAGCCTGGAGCTGAGGACACCATCAAATTCCTCTTCCACCTTTCTTTATGATGTACAGCTATCCCTGTCAAGCGTGGAACTCATTTACTCAGCACACACAGGACAAGGCATGCAAGGCTAGGTGGGACACAGTGACAAACACTAAGTAACCCTTGGTATTTCTCCAAGATCTTGAACATCCATCCAGAGGGGAACAAGGCTAGCCATAGATGTTCTTGTAAGAGGTTAAGGTAGCCCTGATAAGAATACTTGGTAAGATGGAATGAGGATATTCATCCAATTCGGTGGTTAGAGGACTGTGTCAGAGCATCTTCCTGGAGATAGGAGAGCTGGGCTTTGGAGGATGGAGATTGGGAATGGAGGGCCAGGTCAGGAGAAGCAGAGCATCCCAACTGAGAGCTCACTGGTGTCACCGAGAATGGTCCATATTAAATAGAGGATAGCTTTCAGCTCACGCAGGGCTTGGGAGGAAGACCAAGCAGCAGTCGTGGTATACTGTAAAATGGTTAGGGAGAAACACAAGGTACCAATGGTCCTTGATGCTGGTATAAGTCAGGGCCTTGCATGGGGAGATGGCTTCCCCTGTGGTTTTAGTGGGATCCTTGTGATGACAAACATAGTTCATTAGGTAGAGTGCTTGCCCAGTGTGCACAAAACCTTGAGTTCAATGCCCAGCATAGCATAAAAACCAAGTGTGGTGGCACAGGCCTGTGGGCTCAGCACAGAGTAGAGGCCAAAGGATCCAAAGTTCAAGGTCATCCTCAGCTTCTTAGTGAGTTTGAAGCCAACATGGGAGACATGGGACAGGGTATCAAAAAAAAAAAAAAAAAAAAATCTGGTAAATCTAGTATTGGCTAGAATTTTTTAACTGTTTCCCACAGGGTGAAATGTTACAAGTATGTTCCCCCACCCCCTGCCGGTCTGGTCCCACCGCCTCGCCAGCCCCAAATAACACACTGAGACACTGTATTAGATATAAAGCTATAGGCCAGTTACTAGTTTCTTATTGGCGAGCTCTGTCTTAATTATTAACCCATTTCTATTAATCTAAGTACTTCCACGTGGTCTTATCTTACTGGAGAGAGGGGCTGGCGTTCTACTCTGTCCTCCATGATGAATCTCCTTCCTACTACTTCCTCTCTCTTCTTAATCTCCTAGTCCTGCCTATCTTGCTTTCCTATTGGCCAACAGTGCTTTATTCATTAACCAATAAGAGAAACATATTTACAGAATGACCTCTCCCATCAGTGAAATATGGTACCCGGTAGAATTTCACCCTCAGAATTATCCAGTGAAGTAACTGTTTCTGTGAGGAGACAGTTCCCACTGCCCCCAGAGGCCCTGGATGGAAGGTTGGGCAGGCACCTGGGCCACTGTGCAAAGACCTCAGAGGGCTGTCATCTGTTACCCAGGTGTTCCTGCTTTGCCATGGCCTCCTACAGCTCTGCCAGCTGCTCTACAGCACCTACTTCAAGAGCAACCTCACCACGATTGAGAAGCGCTTTGGGCTCTCCAGTTCTTCCTCAGGCCTCATTTCCAGCTTGAACGAGGTAAGTGGGAGGCTCTTTATTGAAAAAAGAATGCTTAAATTGGATTTACTTTATTTCATGTGTCTTGCTTGCATGTAGATGCATGTGTACCATGTGCATGTCTGGTGCCCAAGGAGACCAGGAGAGGGCATTGGGTCCCCTGGAACTGGAGTTCTGGATGGTTGTGAGCCACTGTGTAGGAGCTGGGAATGAGACCTGGCTCTTCTGCAAGAGCAACAAGTGCTCTTAAATGCCAAGGCATCTCTCTAGCCCCGAGTGGGCGGCTCTTGACCACCCTTTATTGTGTGTACTATCCTAACCATGGAATTGGGGCAGGGTTTACATCCCAGTGCAGATACAATGCCTAAAATTTCATCTTTGAGTTGATATCATCCTCACAGACAACAGACAGCAAAAAACCACACCTCTGACATTTCCATCACTGCAGCCTGGCCCTGGCCCATGTATGTATCACAAGTCACCCACAGTTCTCGGTGAGTCCAGACATGGCCTCTGGCTCCTTCTCACACTGTGTTCTAGGCTCCTCTACTAAACAAATGAGATCTGACATATATGGTAGACCCGCTCCTCCAGCAGTCAAGAGGGTCCACAACCATGAGCTTCCAACCTAAAGTCTCTGCATCATTGAATGCTTGAAATAAAATCGTGCTATTGGTAGTGTGTGTGGGGGGGGTCAGGGGTGTGTGAAGAAAGTCCAGCCTTGTGCAAGAGGGGGTGAGGCCATCTGAGCGTGTAATGAGTACAAACCTTCATACTGAAGCTCCATTTCAAAGCCTTCCTGGGCCCAGATGAAATGAAAGAATGCAGACTGCCTATGGCAGTCCCAGGGCAGGAGGAGGGGCTTGCACAGAGAAGGCATGGCCTCAGGAAGCAGCTGCTACTATTGTCCACTCTGACATGACATGGAGAGGGGAACAGACAAGGTGGGTTGGAGCCCGAGAGCCCTACCCTAGATGTCCATCTCCAGTCCCTGGCCGCCTTGGTTTTGAGACACAGAGGAACAGCGTGTGCTGTTAATGTCATGTTTCAAATGTTCAACACCGCCATGTCGATGGAGCTGTTCTTGGGCACTCCGAGGGTGATGGGTGAGGCCTGAGGTCCTCTTCTTGGCTAGAACATCTGCAGTTTGGGGGTGTGTTTGAAATGGGGAAAGGCTAAAGAATTCTCTCCAGGCACTCCTCTGCTGAAGAAAATCTGGGGAGCAATACTCAATACCTGAGCAGGTCCAGCAGCCCACAAAGAAATCAACCCCGGCTTCTGGAGATGAGTGGGGGCCTGAGTGCCCCAGCTTTCCTTCCTGGGTTTGTTTTGGAGCCCTCCACCACCTCTCACACATGCCCTTTCCAGTCAGCTAGCAGAGCTGAAATGGCCTGACATTTCAATCCATTTATTAAAAAAAAAAAAAAAAAAAAAAAAAAAAACACTACAGAAGCAAGAAGGAAAGAAATAAAACCCAAGAAGCTTAAGAATAAGCATTCACTTTCTCTGGGTACCCACTGCAGAATGTTCTAGAAACTTCAGGCTGGAAGGCTCACTGCTGAAGCCAGGCTGCCTCCTCATACACCTCACATAGCTTCACACCCTCTTCCATATGTCACAGCCTCTGTCTGTTGGTCATGTTCCTTGATCCATGTTAACGAGCACCAAACTGCATGCCAGGCACTATACTAGGTGCTGGGAGGCAGAAAGGAACAGATGAACAAAAAGCTAAGACAAACACACAGAAATAAAGCTCTAGAAGATAGACGGTAGGTTCCAGGAGAAGGTGGCCATGGGAGAGGAAAGGCATTCGAAACCAAAGCGGCAGACACAAGGAACATACCTTCTAAGGAGCATCAGGAACACAGTGGTCCTGTCCACACTTGACAAGACTTGGAAATGCTTTGTCTGGTCCTTGTCCTTTGTTTTGAAGAATTTAGGATGGCTATGGAGGTGGGTTAGAGTTGTCAAGGAAGAAGCCGACTCCTCCAGGAGATTGCTCTAGCACGGCACAGACAACCTGAAGTCGGGTCTCCCTAGTTCAGTCTGTCTCCTGGCTTCATGGACGTAAACATGACACTTACTGTTTTGCCGTCAAGTTCCAGTTTTATTTCTGTTGCTGTCATAAAGACTTTGAGAAGAAAGGGTTTATTGCTCCTAACTTCCACACCAGGCCATCGTGGAGGGGAGCCAGCCCAGGAACTGAAACAGGAGCAGAGAACACGCAGGAAAGCTGCTCCCTGGTTCCCCTTCGGCTTGCGTAGCTTGCTTTGTTATTACAGTTCAGGACCACATGCCAGGGACGGCATCACCTTCAGTGGGCCAGCTCCCCCCATTAATCATCAATCTAGAAAATGTCCCCCCAGACCTGTCTATAGGCCAGCTGATGGAGATATTTTCTTGACTGAGTTTTCTTCTTCCCAGATGAGCCTAGTTTGTGCCACATTGATGAAAATTAACTAGCACAAAGTATAAAATGAGAGCAATTTCATGGTGCACAAAGTCATGCACATTGTTTGGTTGTTATTCTGGCTTTTAGTCCGGAGTTCCAGAGTCCATTACCCTGGACCTCGTTAAAGTAAGGAGTTTAGTTAAGAAATATATGCTACTTCAGGAGCCTTCCAGAATTGGAGGCTTCCTTGGATTTTGCCCCAAAATATTTTTCTAGGAGAGTGCTCAGTTGGTGAAGTGCTTTGTGCAAGCATAAAGACCCGAGTTCTATCCCCAGAACCTATGTTTAAAAATACAGGTGTGGTAGTGACATGTGCCTGTCATCCTAGAATTAGGGAGGTGGAGACAGGAGGGTCTCTAGAGCCAACCAACCTAGATATTTGGCAAGCTTTGGGTCAATAAGAAGCTATATTAAAACACATGCATATGTGAGCACACCCTCTTGCAGACACATGCACACACTCAAGATTTTTGTATAAAATGCCCATGTTAGATTAGTCCATTACGTGTTCAGATAATTCCACTGGGCTGGTCCAGAAAGCAAAGGCTGCAGGAAAGCTGGTGCTGTGAGAATACAACATAAACCAGAATATCTGTGCAAGGCTAGCGAGGCTTTGCCAGGGATCCAACTATTGCTGGACAACCCCTTCCCCGTCTTCTGCCTAGGTGAAATATGGTTGGTCTCCTCTGGGCTAAGGGAGGGCAGGGCCTGGCTCTCACTTGATCCCTTGTTCCCTTCTGCAGATCAGCAACGCCATCTTCATCATCTTTGTCAGCTACTTTGGCAGCCGAGTGAACCGCCCACGGATGATTGGCATAGGGGGTCTCTTCCTGGCTGCGGGTGCTTTCGTCCTCACCCTCCCACACTTCCTGTCGGAACCCTATCAATACGCTTCAACCATTGCCGGTGAGTGGCCCTGACTCCTGCCTTGAGGAGGTGAGACAGGGTGAGCATGGAACAGAGCTGATGGTGGTGGTGTCCCTGCGGTTGAGGTTTCCACCCTGGGCCATGCTTCTTTCCTGTCCCACTGGAGACAGTCCTTGGCTTTAGAAGTTTGGTGTCTCTCCAGACCACGTCTGAAACTCACAGAAGTAAGTAGCCTGCTACCTGGTCCGTGGCTTGTTGAGGATGAAGAGGCCCTGTGGTCGCTGGCCTCTTCTCATGATTCCTTGTGCTTTATGCCAGGGTCAATCCAAACGCTACCTGTCTGGGACCAGAGCCAACCGAGGCCTGGAGGAAAGAGGGCCAAAGTGTGGGACACTGTGAAGTTTGGGTGTTTTCTTGATGTTTGGTAACTGTTTGTTACAACTGTTGATTTTACTTTAAATTACCTAGCACTTGTATGGTGCGGTCATTGATGCTAAGACACTAGTGGGGTGCAGAGAAAAGTGATGAGATGAGAACTTATGCAACTTTTCCAGGGGAACATGAACAAATGTCTGTTCATGCCACACACGACACCATGACATCCCAAAGTGATGATTCTACTCAACTCTAGCTTGGTGAACTAAAGTTTATTCGGGTTGATTACAGGAGCATGGGTAAGGGATTATAATGGCATGAGTAAGGATTACAGGAGCATGGGTGAGAGACTGCAGGAATGTGGGAAGGGATTAAAGGAACATGGGTGAGGGGTTGCAGGAGCATGGATGAGGGGTTGCAGGAGCCTGGGTGAGGGGTCACAGGAGCATGGGTGAGGGGTTGCAGGAGCCTGGGTGAGGGGTTGCAGGAGCATGGGTGAGAGGTCGCAGGAGCATGGGTGAGGGGTTGCAGGAGCATGGGTGAGGGGTCACGGGAGCATGGGTGAGAGGTCGCAGGAGCATGGGTGAGGGGGTGCAGGAGCATGGGTGAGGGGTCACGGGAGCATGGGTGAGGGGTCACAGGAGCATGGGTGAGGGGGTGCAGGAGCATGGGTGAGGGGTCACGGGAGCATGGGTGAGGGGTCACAGGAGCATGGGTGAGGGGTCACAGGAGCATGGATGAGGGGTCACAGGAGCATGGGTGAGGGGTCACAGGAGCATGGGTGAGGGGTCACGGGAGCATGGGTGAGGGGTTGCAGGAGCCTGGGTGAGGGGTTGCAGGAGCCTGGGTGACATGGGTAAGGGATTGCAGGGGTGTGGGAAGGGATTATAATAGCATGGGTAAGGAATTAAAGGAGCATGGGAAGGGATTGCAGGAGCATGGGTAACTCAAGGTGGCCACATTACCACCATCGTGGGCGAAGACTCACAAGAGCTGTATCCTTAGAGCCCCTTGGACAACTGTAAGCAACTCTCCAGAGTCTCCTCTTCCCCAGAAACTGATTCCTGCTTTGTGTGACCTTGGGGAAAGCTTAGTAAATCTTGTAACTTTATGAACTTCTGAGTCTTACTGGTTTTTGTAGCTTCCTCAGTCTTAAGAGCTCTTCTTCTTCAACCTCACTAATGCTGCACCCCTTAATCATGCTGTGGCGACCCCAACCATAAAATTACTTTTGTGGCTACTTCAGAACTGTAATTTTGCTACTGTTATGAATCATAATGTAAATACCTGATATGCAGATGGCTTTATGACCTCTATGAAAGGACCATTCTAGTCTCAAAGGGGTTGATAACTACTCTTCTAACCAGAAGGGAATGTTTCAGTTGGGAGGAAATGGCTACATAGTAGGTCTTGGCACTTGAAGGTATTCAGATGTCTCCTCATGGTCCAAGTAGCTAAGGAGAGGAAGACAGGAAGGCCTGTCTCCTGACCCTCATCAGGTAAGAGCTCTTTCTGTGACCCAAACTTCCTCTTTTTATTGGGATGCCTTGTGACAGGATGAAATAGAGCAAGAATTTATGTGGTTAAACATGTAAGGAAAGGTAACCTTTCCTTACATTTTATTTTTAGAATTCTTTTAATTAGCATATATTAATTATGCATGATAATAGGTTTCATTGTGACATTTCCATACATGCACATGATGTATTTTGATCATATTCACTTTCTTTCTCCCGTGACTACTAATCCTTTTCCTTTTCTCAACTAGCCTGCTCTTCAGTTTTCTTGTTGGTGTGTGTGTGTGTGTGTGTGTGTGTGTGTGTGTGTGTGTGTGTCCCAGCGAGTTTCATCAAGGTTAATGATAGCAGTGTTAAGTGAGGGTTTACGTTTAAGAGTGGGTGCCTTACCATTGGCTTTGACACTGAAGAAATTATTCCTCTTTGCCTATTAACTAATTATAAACTGTGGCTGTTTTAAATTGCTGAGTTTGCAATTTTATACAAATTCTAGATAGCTCTTTGTTGGACATGAGCTTTATAAAAATTTCCTCCCAATCTCTGACTCATCATGCATATTCTCTTAACAGAATGTATGTCACCTCCAGAACAAAAAGAGGTTGTAATTTTGGTGAAATCCAACTTTCCCTATTTTTATCCCTTTCAAGACTCGTTTTTCTGGTTCTGCACTCAAGACCTCTGCCCCATCCCAGGGGAGGGATGCTTTCTGTGCATTTTTTCAGGGTGCTTCTGATTTTTGTATTTACTGTATAGACTTATGGTCTGTTTGGAGCTAACCATTTATCAGCACTCATGTTTTTCTTTTGTGTGTGCATGTAATTTTTCCTAGCACATTTTGTTACAAAAACGTCTTTTTTTTTTTTTTTTTTTTTTTTTTTACCATACTCTAATTTTGTTCCATTATAACAGATCAATTGTCTTGGGCTAAGGCCGCAGCTCAGTGGTAGAGAGCTTGCCCCAAATACACAAGCGCCTGAGTTCTACTGTCCCCACAGAGAAGAAAGTTGACCACATCTGTGGATTCCTCTCTGGACTTCCTTGCCCACCCATTGATCTGTGTGTCACTTTTGCTGGTACTGCATGCCCACCCTTGCTAATGTTTTCTCTAGCTTGGTCTTTTTTTCTGTAGAAATTTTTGAGATCTAGTTTATATTCAAATGAAAAAAAAATATCCTTCCAGAATTTTGACTGGGATTACATTAAATTCCTAGATCAATTGGCATGCCTGGTATGTATAATCCTCGAACACTTTTTGATTTTTTATTTTGAGACAGGTTTTCTGTGTGTAATCCAGACTGTCCTGGAACACACAGAGATCTGCCTGCCTCTGCTCTCCGAGTGCTAGGATTAAAGGCATGTGACTTTCAGACTAATCCTCTAGTCTGAAGACTGTCAGACTAATCCTCTAACTCCTAAATAGTGTGGCTCACCATTGCCCCTGTGTTTAACATTGATTTATGACTGAACAAGCTCTAGGCTGATGGATGTCTTTATTCTTCAGAAGAACATAGTCCCTGGGCACCTTAATACCCACTGGCCATCATTGCTGCCCAGTGCTGTGGATGTACCTGCCTTACCCTACCTACAGTGCTCAGTGCATATTGGTATTTACCTACAAGGTTATGGGTTTCTGTGTTCACTGTTGCTTGGGGGGTATTTCACCTACATTATTGCTTCAATGTCCTCCTCTTCCTGAGATATAGCCTTCGTTGTTACTTTGATGAGCCCTTGGGTGATAAAACTCTCTATCAGAAAAGATTTTAATTTTACCCATGCTTTTGAATTAGTTTAGCTACAAACTGTTTCAAATTAATAGTTGTTTCTAGTCAGAACTTTGAAGACAACACACCCTTGTCTTTTGGGATTTCTCAGTGGACCTTCTCCATCTGTCTAATTATCAACCTGGTTTTGTGTAGGTATCCTGGTTTTATTCTCTGTATTTGCACTTACAATTTCCCTTTTCTTTGTTGTTTTGCTACCACACAGTATGTTTGCATATGGGTTGATCTGTGTCTGTTTGAGAGTTCAGCTTTTTTGTTTTGTTTTATTTTGTTTTTTTAATGAGAACAAGATGTTTAATTCTATCAGTCTGTCAGCCAAAAGTGCTCCTGAGTTTTTTCATCCTTTCCCCTGGAACTTGTATATAAATATACATGTCAGTCATTTTCATTTCTGAACTCCTCACCTCTCAACTTCACTATAGTTTCCAGTTCCTCTGTACCACATCCTTTAAGTATGTCTTCCCATTCTGTGAGTCTCTCTCTAACCTTTTAAATTGGAGTCAACCCCTTCCATTATGTAAAGTTTAAGAGATCTCTCTCTATTTTGCTAATTTCTAAGAGTTATAATTAGTTTCAAATTTCTTGACCTTAATTTTTATGACTTCTTAATGCTTTTAACTGATATGTATAATATGACTCTTTGATGTCTTCAAGTATTTTAAATGTATTTATTTGTCCTCGTCCTTGTCTCCGGAGAAGTAAGATGCGGTGGTGGCTTCATGATGAGCAGCATTGAGGGACTCAGTCTGCAAACACTCACCCTTAGCTCACAGCAGTAGGGCTGTATGTCGTTGGTACAGGATGAATGATCCGCCCAGGAACGTGCTGAGCAAGTAACCAATTTGTGTTTGCTTGGACACCAGGCTCTTCTAAAAGAAGACTAAGTTCCAGCGGTGAATCACTCAGAATGGCAGAAGAAAGTCCTCTATGGGTTGTGAGGCCTGTGCAGGATGCAGGTAGTTGGTTGGGATGGGGAGGATTAGGAACAGGGGTGCCTACTGGCGAAGTGTCTACAAGGCTCTGGTACTGTCCTCCAGGTGCTCTAGTCATTTTCACAGGCATCTCATCATCCTGGACTGTTTAAAAACTGAGCCTTGCTTCAAGTGAGCCAAGGACGTGGACACACCTAAACCCATGGGTTCTGCCCTGTCCTTTTTCTTCTCTATCTAGACGGGGCATTAGAGACCAGCTCTGATGGAGAGTCAGAACTTGACCTTTCTGATGCATGAAGACAAGGCTAATGAGATCAGCAAGGGAGCCTGGAGCACTGGGGCCAAGCTGAGGGGAGGGCACTTTGCCAGACACCACACACCATGGCCTACTCAGTCAGGCTGGTCTGCTCCCCACGGCCTGGGCCCGCAGCCCA